ACACCACCACCCCCCAAAATAAGTAAATGCATACATTGTTTCCCTTGATGATGTCTCCAGTTGTCCCCCCTTGTTGATGTCCCTGCTTGTGGTATGTGGTCAAAATCTGTGTCGTCATCACCTGTAAATGATAGCATATTCATATTGTTGACATTTCAACAGTTTAAAATATAGGTTACTCCTGATTTCCCATTAATGTACCTTAAGGAGTCATGAAATTGAGAAAGAAAATGTCCTTAATATTTACACATACAGTATAAGAGTGTATTTACACATATAGCCTACTCTACAATTAAAACACAATGCAAGTTTCATATCTCAAAGCTAACTCCCTTGTTTAAAATATACATTTTTAGCTTTCTACCCTTCTCAAATTCCAGGATGAGCGATTGAAAGGTAATGTTCTTGTTTTCCTTATTATTCTCTCATTATTGTTATACTAAAATTATAGCATGTTTGGGTTACTTGTTTGCATTTGGAACAAAACAAACATCACTAAAACATTTTATAAAAGTACACACCAAAGACAGTTTATACACTAAAGTTTTAAACAATATATATTCACACACACACACACAACCGCTACTCTTTTTTTTTTTTTTTTTTTTCTTAAAGAGTTCCAGATTTTGCGAGACACTGTGAAATTCAGTTATTTGCAGTGTGGTGTTATTCCACTATCAGAACATACGTCTTTGTTCAAGTGTACTGATTCAGGGCATTAAAATTTGCATCGTAAATGTACCTCTTCACCTCATACATTTACAGTACGAGTTGCTCATAGGATTTGTTAAGTTTGGGGTAGGCTATGTTCCTCACTTCCTGTGACAGGTGTTGCGTTCATCCTTGGTAATTATTTGGCTTGAGGAAAGGTATAACACCAGAAGTAGAGATTGTTCATAAGCCTGATTGTTTTGTTGGTGCAGATGACATTGCCGATAAGTATCCAGAAGTGTTTGTAGACATTGTTGTGACTCACGCACAAAAGCGAAGAATAGGGAATGAATAACATTACATGATGATTCATTCACGTCGCCACGCTTTGCTGAGGAAAGTTTTTGCCCGAGAAGTTATGAAAAATGATTTAAAAAAAAAAAGATTTGTCATGCTGTGAAAGATTTAGAGTTGTTGACTGTACCTGTTACATGTGAACAGATGATCGCAGCACAAGCGAAACGATCCCTCTTTGGTAAAACCAAAAAGAAAAGAAAAGATGTATGTCACTATTGTCGCACTTGTCATGTTTGTCAGGTAACAGGGTAGCCCATCTGCTCCATTGGTTCCGATCCCTGTAATTGGTGAGCCAATAATTTTGGATTGTGTTGGCCCTTTACCCAGGACAAAATCTGGATATCATTTTTTGTTAACAGTCATGTGCTCTGCAACCCGATTCCCAGAAGCAATTCCGCTGAGAAAATGACTTCTTCTGCTATTATAAAGTTGATGATCAAATTCTTTTCCACAGTTGGACTACCAAAAATTGTGCTAACAGATCAAGGAACGAATTTTCTCTCCAAACTGTTCAGGCAGGTGTTAAAAAGAGGATAATGCGAGGATAATGCACCAGTTTCCAGTGTGTAGCCTATCATCTCAAAAGTTAAGGGGCAATCGAGCGTTTTCACCAAACGCTTGTAAGAATCGACCCCACCAGCGCAACAAGCGGAATCCAGCGGCCTGGTCGAAGGTTCAATGCATACTCGGTTTTTTACTTGCGCCTCTAAATGTATATGGATTCAGTCAATTTTAGTCTAGCTCCGTGTCCAATCTGACTTAAATTTCAAGTGATCATTCTGGAAATCCCATACTTTCAATTATTCGTTCATTAAGGACCTGATATCGCTTCGCAGTTCACTCAGCCAACAGTGAACGCACGGCACAAACTCACCAGTTCTGTACTTACTCAGAAGATACAGGGTGATTATAGCCTGCCTTTAAGTACCCTGCTAGCAAATAACAAAAAGTATATATTTTCTATAAATCACGAAAACTGTAACTTGTTAAGCCAGTGACAGACAGAAATCAGAAGATCCCTAATGGAGAGCCCCCTGCCCCGCTCATTGGTACTTCAGTATGATCTATCCTGGATGCAGATTTGTGGAAACATCAGACTACGCTATAATCTACTAAAATAATGACTTCAGAAGAGATCAGAATAAATCAAATATAACAATTTATTATTAATCAGGTAAAATTGTATCAGGCCAATTACATAATTAAACAATTAGAATTAAATTCAGTTCCAATACTCATTAATATATGTCTGCACATTATATAAATTACATTCCTTACCCTTAATCGTAAATGTACCTCTTCACCTCATACATTTACAGTACGAGTTGCTCATAGGATTTGTTAAGTTTGGGGTAGGCTATGTTCCTCACTTCCTGTGACAGGTGTTGCGTTCATCCTTGGTAATTATTTGGCTTGAGGAAAGGTATAACACCAGAAGTAGAGATTGTTCATAAGCCTGATTGTTTTGTTGGTGCAGATGACATTGCCGATAAGTATCCAGAAGTGTTTGTAGACATTGTTGTGACTCACGCACAAAAGCGAAGAATAGGGAATGAATAACATTACATGATGATTCATTCACGTCGCCACGCTTTGCTGAGGAAAGTTTTTGCCCGAGAAGTTATGAAAAATGATTTAAAAAAAAAAAGATTTGTCATGCTGTGAAAGATTTAGAGTTGTTGACTGTACCTGTTACATGTGAACAGATGATCGCAGCACAAGCGAAACGATCCCTCTTTGGTAAAACCAAAAAGAAAAGAAAAGATGTATGTCACTATTGTCGCACTTGTCATGTTTGTCAGGTAACAGGGTAGCCCATCTGCTCCATTGGTTCCGATCCCTGTAATTGGTGAGCCAATAATTTTGGATTGTGTTGGCCCTTTACCCAGGACAAAATCTGGATATCATTTTTTGTTAACAGTCATGTGCTCTGCAACCCGATTCCCAGAAGCAATTCCGCTGAGAAAATGACTTCTTCTGCTATTATAAAGTTGATGATCAAATTCTTTTCCACAGTTGGACTACCAAAAATTGTGCTAACAGATCAAGGAACGAATTTTCTCTCCAAACTGTTCAGGCAGGTGTTAAAAAGAGGATAATGCGAGGATAATGCACCAGTTTCCAGTGTGTAGCCTATCATCTCAAAAGTTAAGGGGCAATCGAGCGTTTTCACCAAACGCTTGTAAGAATCGACCCCACCAGCGCAACAAGCGGAATCCAGCGGCCTGGTCGAAGGTTCAATGCATACTCGGTTTTTTACTTGCGCCTCTAAATGTATATGGATTCAGTCAATTTTAGTCTAGCTCCGTGTCCAATCTGACTTAAATTTCAAGTGATCATTCTGGAAATCCCATACTTTCAATTATTCGTTCATTAAGGACCTGATATCGCTTCGCAGTTCACTCAGCCAACAGTGAACGCACGGCACAAACTCACCAGTTCTGTACTTACTCAGAAGATACAGGGTGATTATAGCCTGCCTTTAAGTACCCTGCTAGCAAATAACAAAAAGTATATATTTTCTATAAATCACGAAAACTGTAACTTGTTAAGCCAGTGACAGACAGAAATCAGAAGATCCCTAATGGAGAGCTCCCTGCCCCGCTCATTGGTACTTCAGTATGATCTATCCTGGATGCAGATTTGTGGAAACATCAGACTACGCTATAATCTACTAAAATAATGACTTCAGAAGAGATCAGAATAAATCAAATATAACAATTTATTATTAATCAGGTAAAATTGTATCAGGCCAATTACATAATTAAACAATTAGAATTAAATTCAGTTCCAATACTCATTAATATATGTCTGCACATTATATAAATGACATTCCTTACCCTTATTTTTCTGTTCTAACAATATAAAATCTACTGTAGCATCTGAAAGTAACCAAGGTTTTATTACAGGTAGCGGTACAGTTGGACTAACATTTAACTGATTAACTTTAAGTTCTGTTGCGTTCTGTATCACTGTCCATCCAAAACTTGTAATTTTCCTCCTCTCTTTTTCCCAACAGGGCTTTACAGTATCTAGTGTTGGATGCTCTTGACTATGGCCTTGTAAATTAACCCAATAATTCACTGATAACTGTAACCTTCTCATTTCTAATGACATTTCCCCCATTTCAATCTGTAGTGCTGTGATTGGTGTAGTTTTTATAGCTCCTATACATAATCTCAATACCTGATGCTGTATATTATCTAACTTTCTAAGAGATGTTTCTGCTGCTGATCCATACACCACACAACCATAATCTAACACGGATCTAACCAATCCACTATACATGGCCTCTGATGCCATCCTATATGCCCCCCATTCACTTCCAACTAAACACCTCATTGTATTTATTATTTTCTTACATTTGTTCTCTATATTCTGAATATGCACCGCCCATGTAACTCTTTCCTCAAACCATATCCCTAAAAACTTAAAATGTTTCACTCTTTCCAGTTCTTGAATATATATAATTTTAGTTTTACCTCACTTCCAATTTTTTCTTTGTAAAAAACAGTATCTTTGTTTTGTCAACTGAGAATTTAAAACCCCATTTATATGACCATTCTTCAACTATTGCAATAGCCTCCTGTAATTTTTTAACAATAAAGTCAATATTCCTTCCCCTTTTCCAGATTGCCCCATCATCAGCAAAGAGCAAAAAACCCAGCCCATTATCCAAATCTTCAAATACATCATTTATCATTATGGAAAACTATGGGCTCACTATACTTCCTTGTGGAGTTCCATTTTCGATCACAAACATTTCTGATGAACTATTTCCTTTTCTCACTTTTATTGCTTTTTCTGATAAAAAATCCTTGATCCAGCTATATATGATGGAATGAATATTGCTACCACAACCCTCTCTGCTGGAGAAAAGGAGGAACTCACTGCAGGTTTAGCTGCGTCCATCACCGGCTGGTGAATGAATAACATGATTGTTTAACAATAAAAGTAGAGCGTGCCAGTGGCCTAGTGAGCACTTGATTTCCCACACCTCACGTTTTCTGTTGTGTCGCCCTTGCCTGGTGGAGTCGTTTGGTTTGGGTTTTCTATTCCAGTCCTTTCTCTGTTTAAACCCAGGTATGTGGATGAATGGAGTTCCATAGGCGAGAGGTGTAGTACTGGTGTGTAACCCAAGTCTGTATCCTGCAGTTCGGGTGTAGCGAGATATGTCATAGCGGGAGCTCTTTCATATCAGTCGGATTGACCCAGTGAGTATGATCTTTTTATGGGGGGTGTTTTAAGTAGAACTTTTTAAGCTTCATGGACGTTAGTTTCTGTGTGCAGGTTGAGGGGAAGTGCCTAGCGGCTTCTGTCCAGCGTGGAGCCGTGGAGTGGGTCAATATTTGGCAGGACATACGGACCCAGACTGCGCTGCTGTTTTGTCTCTACGTTTTTTGCCCTCGTTGTCTTTATTAGATTTTCGGTTGTGTTTAATGGTTTTGGGAATATTAAGTTGTATTTAGTCGTTTTCTTTTCCTAACTTTTTGGGTAACGGTTATCAAGATGGCTGATGTGATACTGTCAGTGATTTTATGGGGATGATTAGTCACTTACCCTAATGTTTTGCATATATCTGTAGTTTTAATTTTATTTTCCTAATTGTGCATTTGTTTTTGTATTTCTTTGTCAGTGCTGAGATTTCTCCCTTTGGGGACCTAGAGAGATAGGCCTACACCATTCATTCTTTGGGGTGCAGTGTGGAACACATTTGTTTTTCATTCGTGTGGTTGCAGTGGAGAGCACTAGAGTGTGAGGGCTTGTCTGTCGGGGGGTTTAGGATTTTCTCCTTGTAAGTGCTCTCAGCGACCAAGGTGGTGCTTTCAGTTTTTGTTTGTTCTGTACGGTGGCCGAGAAGTGCAAAACAAATCACAATTCTGAAAACAAAATAGCAAATGCAAGTCTAAACAAAGTGATTCAGAAAACACAACAATTCAGAAAACAATATAACAAGTCAGAAAACACAAGGAGAAACCGGAAGAGGTAGGTATAGTTTGAGACAGCGCCATTGGTTTGGGATTACTCACCGCTGACTGGACGAGACATCTGTCAATCAACGTATACAGAGAAGAACCAGCCGAAGAACAGCAGAGTCGTGGTGGGAAGTTCGGAGATGGTATTAAAGTAGCTCAGTTTAAATGTATTGTATGAATTGCCCTTACTATGGAATAAAAAAATACGGGGTGTCTATTTACATTTAGTTAAAAGTGGCTATAAATCATTCGCTCCAGTGGCGCAGATGGATAATTGTGAGATGTTGGCTTTTTGACGCAATCGACCCGGGTTCGATCCCGTCTTTCGCTGAACTTTTTTTCCCCCTCCCTTTTCAAATCTCGTATTAGCAATGGATTCTATTTACACTAAGTGAAAATGGTAGTATTTTTAGCAATATGCTATTTACACTAAGTGCAAATACCTATTTACACTATGTTAAAATAGCAGGATTTCTACTATCAAGTATACTACTTGTTGCAAATAGTGGCAATTATCGGCACTTCAGTATTGTAGTACATTATAAAACGGTATGCAATAACATATTGAGTGTAAATTAATTATTAAATGGATGCCACCTTATTGGTACAATAAAGCCCTCCCTACACCTACCCTAACTCTACCCGATACTTTATTTTCAACTTTTTGATTATTTCCTTAATTTTTATTGAAAATAAATGCCTTTACGATGTGATACGAGATTTGAAAAGGGAGAGAAAAAAAGTTTGGCAAAAGGCGGGATCGAACCCGGGAGTTTGGTTAAAAGTTTTGTGCTGTTTTCCACTGCTTGACCAACCTCTTGTCTCGAGATGTCCTTATCTTTGTCTGTATCATCACTTCTCCTTTGCTCTTGGACCTTCACTGCCTCTGAACAAGTGAAAGTGATAAACAACATAAATTATGCAATTTCAACAGTTCTCTTCCTTACATCCACTGTATGTTACCCTATGTTGCCCCCCGCAATTACAGCACTTGTCTTGTACACTGAACAAAATTATAAACGCAACACTTGTTTTTGCCCCCATTTTTCATGAGCTGAACTCAAATATCTAAGACTTTTGCTTGGTTTGGTTTTTACTGCTTTTGAGAGCATCCAACTCATCGCTTAACTCATTCGCTCTGTTTTTGTAAATGATCAGCTCTTCATTTAGCTTCTGGAAGTCCTCCATCATCTGGTTTTCTCTGCTTTTGAGAGCATCCAAGTCATTGTGTAGCTGATTCTCCCTGTCTTTGGACTCGAACAATTTCTTCCGATCATCTTCGATTCTCTCATTAAGTTCTAGCACTTTCTTTGCATTCAGTTCTTTCATATCATTCATTTCCTTCTTCAGGTTTTCAGCACTTTCATTATTTTCTTCCAATTCTCTGCTTAGTTTATTCTTAATTTCTTCATACTCGGCTTTAAAATAATTTTCAGCTTTTTTGAAATAGTCAAAATGATTTATGAAAAAACTGCTGCTTTTCCACTGTGTTGTTGTCTCAGTTTTGTTAAATAACTGATGAACACTTTGGTCAGTGTTCTGTAAAATGTGTCAGGACTCCATAATCCAGTTGTTCGTAATCTGTACTTTTTCTGTGTTTAAGAAAGACATTTTTAGGCCATGATTAACCATTTCAGATTAGGCCTAGGCCTACTTCCTGTCTAAATTTAAAGCCTGTCCGGGAAACTGCCCCTAAACATTTATATAAATACATAGCCTATATAGGCTACACACACATCCATATACATACGTTATATAGCTAAGTAACGTTAATAATGTTTGCCATAATTATTTCAAGGAGAAATCTGTCTAGTCTCGATATAACAGTTCGTGCAACATTGATTCAGTGAATTAAAGTTTGTTTCAACTCAAGGAATTCAGTGTCGTCTCGGCGACATGTCAGACACAAAATAACCATTTTTTTAAAAAATGAATGTATTTGCATTAGTCGTTATATATGCTATTTTAAAACGAAAGAGGAAAAAACCCTGTTCTTTCCCTGTTACACAAAGCTTTTCTTCAGATTTTATGTTTTTGTTTCATACTTTTCTTAGGATTTATACTGTTGACTTTCTCAAAATATTGCATCTAACTGCAGTTTTATTTCATTCAGTAATCATTTATGGTTAAATATTTATATTAGAAATTAGTGAAATTTTCTAATGTTAGAAATAAGTAAACACTAAATTAAGAAAAACAACTTGATGATCTTGTGAAGTTTTTTTAATTTTTTTAATTTTTATAATTACAAAACTTGTAGAAACATACAGAAACAGGGAAGCGAGACATAAATATATTCCAACAAAAAGCAATTATTAAAATAAGAACAGAAAACAAATATTCTGGATTTGCATGTCAGAAGTATTAGCGATACATAAAAGTGCAGAAATAAACTTGCATTCTTTTAGAGAAGTTGTCATAATATATCAAAAGGGTTATATATTTTTTTTAATAATTTTTTTTTTTTTTTACATAAAGTTTGGCACGTAGTAAATAAACTACGATGACGTCACTTTAGGAGGCTAGCGCGCTAGTCGCGAGACCGTTGAGGGGCGGATTACGTAAATTACAGTCAGTCACCGTGTAACACGGACGCTGGTCGGAGGAGATCAGATGAGGGTATGTTAGAATATTACCACTTACGTGTTTAAGTTCATTCTTAAATCTCTCACTTCACTCGATATAATGAGTTATCTTGACATTTGTCGGTGTTATTGTTGAGTATGAGGCTCAATGACAGCTGTGACTGCATCATGATGATAAGGATAAGGAACATGAATTTCGATGTTGTGTTGAATTTAAATGTACAATTTTGCCTCTCATCTTAACCATTCATATTATAAAAAGTACTGTATTCTATTGTAATGTTGTGTGTGTTTTGTGTCCAGGTATTGCTGGTCTGTTCACCATCTTCTCCAGCTTTGTGTTCGGTACCGTGGTCGTTCAGTTTCTGGGCAAAGAGCTCACAGGACTGAAGTATGAATCTCATCTGTCTCTCATATTCATGTCCTCTGTGTCTTGAGTTTGTCTCTAAACGGTCTCGTCATGTTCCTGCAGTGAGGCTCTGCCGTTCTTCCTGTTGCTGATTGATCTGTCTAAAGCCTGCACACTGGCCAAGTTTGCTCTCAGCTCAAACTCACAGGTACAAAAATTAGATTTTGCTGCAATAGATATAAAACGGCAGCATGAATATTGCATTTTGTTTTTCATGTTTTTTTGTTTTACTAGAGCATGTAGACGAGTCCCAAATTACTTTCTGAGTGTTATATATATATATTTTTTTATATATAAAAAATGTTGTATTTTTAGTCAGTTTAAATGATTTCTGTGAATCAGTTCAAGTGGTCCATTTTAAATAAGTAGTTTCGATATAGATTATGCAAATTATTGGTGTGTTGGCATCATCACTGAAGTGAACATTATAGAAAATGAACAAAAAAAATGCACATAAAAAAAGGATTCAAGTGGATATTGCTGTTTGTTACTATTTGTTATAATCAGGATAATTATAGTTTACTAAAACAAAAACCATTACATTTATTAAATAAATATTAAAAAAATTATTATTTCTTAACTTCATTTAGCTTGACTTTATATACTGAAATAATATTAATAATGTTTTTAATATATGGACATATTTAAAAAAAAAATAATAATAAAAATGACAAAAACACAACAAAATAAAAATGAAAACTAATTCATATAAATGTAACGTAAATGCACAGGAGGAGGTCAGAGAGAATATCGCTAAAGGCATGGCCATCCTGGGTCCCACATTCACCCTGGACGCAGTGGTGGAGTGTCTGGTCATCGGTGTGGGAACAATGTCTGGTAAGTTAAAGCTGCATGTCTCATTGTCTCTTTTGCATTCTCTCTTTACTTTCAATTTTTTCTCTAAATAATTTGACAAATAAAAAAGTTGGGCTACCATGGGCATATAAACCTGGATGATTTAGTGATCTGATTGCATGGTGTGGAAAAGTCATGGAAAATGGTATAGTCTTGTAAGTAATAATGTAAATATTTTTAAAATTGTCATTGGTTAAAAGTCACTGGAACCCTTAAAAATGTGATCCTAATCTGGCTTCAAACTTTCACGTTATGCTTCTTTCACTGTAACTATTTCCTGTCTGATTGCAGGTGTGCGTCAGCTGGAGATTATGTGCTGTTTCGGCTGCATGTCGGTTCTGGCCAATTACTTTGTGTTCATGACCTTCTTCCCTGCCTGTGTGTCGCTGGTGTTAGAGGTCAGTGGGTTTGTTTGTAACGCTTGTAAGATGTTCTGTATAACATAAACCCAGATGTGAGTGAGCATTGACCCCAGTCACTCTCCCCTGTCTCGTCCAGCTGTCCCGTGAGAGTCGCGAGGGCCGGCCCATCTGGCAGCTCAACCATTTCGCTCGTGTTCTGGAGGAAGAAGAGGGAAACAAACCAAACCCCGTCACTCAGAAAGTCAAAATGATCATGGTGAGTTCAGGAAACATCAGGCTTACAATAATGTAATACACTACTGTTCAAACATTTGGGGTCCGTAAATTTTTTCTATTAATACTTCTATTCATCAAGGACACATTAAAGGGTTAGTTCACCCAAAAATGGAAATTCTGTCATTAATTACTCACCCTCATGTTGTTTCAAACCCGTAAGACCTCCGTTCATCTTCAGAACACAAATTAAGATATTTTTGATGCATTCTGACAGCTCTCTGACCCTTCATAGACAGCAAGGGTACTACCACAATCAACGTCCAGAAACATAGCAAGGAGATCGGTAAAATAATCCATGTGACATCAGGGGTTCAACCGTAATTTTACAAAGCTACGAGAATACTTTTTGTGCGCAAAAGAAAAAGAAAAAAAACGACTTTATTTAACTATTCTTCTCCTCCGCGTCACCCCGTGTGGCGCAGCTGACACAGAATAGCATACGCTGTTTGCGTTCAGTGAATACTCTCCAAAATGGCACCAGGGTGACGAAGACGAATAGTTGAATAAAGTCGTTTTTTTCTTTTTTTTCCTTTTGCGCTCAAAGTATTCTCGTAGCTTCGTAAAATTACGGTTGAACCCCTGATGTCACATGGATTACCGTATTGTCCCGAATATAAGACGATGTTTTTTTCTTGGAAATGCATCTGAAAAAACGCGGTCGTCTTGTATTCAGGGTCTAGACTTTGACATGTCAATAATACACCCACAACAATAGGTGGCGCCAAATACGCATAAAACGAGTGTGCCATGAAATACGTAATGTAATGCGTGTTGTAAAGATCGCGAGTAAAAACAAAAGAAAAAGAAAACTTTACAGCTGCATGAGTCGTGACTGTCACGTTAGCCTGATGGCACAAAACTCCCTTTGTGACTTTAAAACGTAAGACAGTACCCAGATTTGAAGACTACAGTCAGATTTAACTTCGACTGTTAATAAGATTTTGGTAGGCTACTATTAGATGGATAGCCTAAATGTCCTAATTCAGATGGGCTACCTGTTTTTTTTT